AATACCACACCACAGTCTGACATTCATTCACAACAAAACATCCATTCAAAGGAACTGTAAAATTAATTCATTTGGTAAAAGGCTTTTTGGGTATAATTGTCAGGGTTCTCTAAAGGAACAGAACAGATGATTGATAGATAGATAGACAAGACAGACAGACAGACAGACAGATAGATAGACACAGACAGAAGCAGAGAGGTAGTTAAAGTGGGATTCATTAGAGTAGTTTACAGGCTGTGGTCCTTGTAGTTCAATAATGGATGTCTCCAGAGTCTCCACAGGAAAATCCAAGGACCCAGTGGTTGATGGGTGCATGAGAGTAGATGTCTCAGCAGTGCCTGTCTGGTGCTGGAGTCCCAGGGAAAGTCTAGAGAGCTGCTGGTCTTCAGTCTGTGTGGGAATCTCACAGAAGTATGTTATAGGACCAGTAAAGGAATGCCTCAGTAACAAGAAACACAAACTTACCAGCAAGAGTGAAGACCAACATGCAAAAAGCAAAAACATCTTTCTTCTATACCCTTTTATGTGAGCTGCCAGCAGAGGTGTAGTCTAGACTTGAGGTGCGTCTTCTCTTCTCAAATGATCAAATCAAGAAAATCCATTACAAGCATGACAGCTGTTTCACTTTTAGCTATTTCCAGAGTGTAGTCAAGTTGACAGTCAAGATTAACCATTACACTGCTCAAGCATAAGTTTGGATCTCCAGAGCACACATAAAAATTAGGTACAGCTCCATGTACCTGACTCATATCTCTGAGGAAGTAGAAACAGATGGATTCCTGGACTTTACTGGACAACCAGGCTAGCTACACGGGCAAGCTCCAGGCTCAGGAAGAATTCCTGTCTCAAAAATTAAGACAGACAGAGCTTATAACATGATTCATTTGGTAAAGACACTCACCACCAAACCTGAGTTTAATGCCCAGAACCTATGTGGAAGAAGGGCAAAAAACTAACTTGTAGACAGAGATTTCCTGTCCCACAGCCACTCTCAAATAGACACACTGAAACTTATATTGTTTACAAATGCTCAGCCAATAGATCAGGTTTGTTACTAACTCTTCCAAAGGTCCTGAGTTCAATTCCCAGCAAACACAAGGTGGCTCACGAAAAATCTGGTACCCTCTTCTGGCCTACAGGCAAAGAGGCAGGAAGAACACTGTACACATAATAAATAAGTAACTTTTTTAAGAAAAGATGTTTAATTGAAGCAATGATTCTATACAATATTAGTGTTAGTTTAAATAGAATTTTGGTTATGGACACTCATTAACAATTAAAGTAAGGGATTATAATAGAGGTTAGTTTATTAGGAAAATTAATGTAGATAAATGTAGGTTATAGTGTTGCCCTGGCCCTGATAAAGCAGGGACTGCAAAGGGTAGAACAAGGAAGTTTCAGAAGGCTAAGACTTAAGAGTTTTACTTCAAGGGTCATGTAGACTATGGGTTAGGTTAATGATTAGGAAAATAACTCAGTCCCAGGAGTTAGCTCAAACTTTTGTGTGTGTGTGTGTTCATGGGTTTCAATGTGCATCATAGCCAAAGCAAGGCTTTAAACAATTGACTTCATATGACTAGAAAACAAAGAACTGGATGATTAGTTACGATAACTGGACAGGAATCTAAATATGAAAATTGAAACAAATAATCTGGTTTTTGGCAATTATAAGAGTTATTGCCTATGTAAATGGTTATGAATGACAGGCTCCTGATCTGTGTGAGATATCTGTCTAAAAGATAAGTGTTTGGCTAAGTGTGTATTCCTCAGGAAATTTATAAAGATGTGGTTAAAAAATGTATTGGGACTGACTTGAACCAAAAAATATGTTTTATAATGATTATGCAGTAGCTGTATAATTTTTAGTTATGGTGAAAATCCTCTTTGTAATGAACTTGGTATGGGGAATATTAAAAGGGTTTTTAAAATACAAAGACAAAGAAGGTAGAAAGAGACCCTGAAGGAGTGTGTGTGTGTGTGTGTGTGTGTGTGTGTATTTTTCTTTTTTGCTGGCCCCAGAATTAAATTTTAATTCTGTTGTAATAGGAGCGGCGGGCTACGTTCCTGGCACCCGGCCACCCGCACAGCTAGCTTTATACCCGAAATAATTACACGGAAACTGTATTCATTTAATCACTGCTTGGCCCGTTAGTTCTGGCCTCTTGTTGACTAGCCCTTACATATTGATCTAACCCATTTCTAACAATCTGTGTAGCCTACGAGGTGGCTTACCACGAAAGATCTTAACCTGCGTCTGTCTGGAGTAGGAGAATCATGGCGACTGACCTGAGTCAGCTTCTTTCTCCCAGCATTCTGTTCTGTCTACTCCGCCTACCTAATTTTCTGTCCTATCAGAGGCCAAGCAGTTTCTTTATTACTTAACCAATGAAACAACAGATAGAAAGATGACCCTCCTCCATCATAATTCCTCAGAAAGAAAGGTCAATTGAGTGATTAGTCGGATACTACACGGCTCCCCTTCAATTTCTAAGCTACTGAAGGCTCGTCCTTACAGCAGCCATCTAGGAAACAATGAAATAAAGTAGTACGTAGAGGGTGACTCCCAACTCACTATGTAGACAAAGATGGCCTTTATTCACTAAAAGATGTATAGCTTTTCTTTGTGTGTAAACATTTGTTTTATTTTGTTTTGTTTCACAGGGTCTTATGTACCATAGACTGTCCTCGATCTCCGTCCTAGCTATGTAGCAGAGGATAACCCCAAATTTCTGATCCTCCTACTCCCAGTGGCCAGGGATAGAAATTTCAGGCATGTCCCACCATACCTAATTTACCTGATTCCAGGAATTGAACCTACAGCTCATGTATACAAAGCAAACGTTCTACCAGCTGAGCTACACGCCTCTGTTTTATTCTATTCTATCAACCTATATGAGTTACATTGTATAAATCAGTCCTTTGAACATACAAAGATATAAACTATAAGTTTAGCCAAAAGGTGACTCCAAAATTATAGAAATATTATCAGTATTATGATAAAGCTTTGTACTGAGGATGTTTCATTGCTGAGTAAAAGAGGCAATTCATTTCATTACAGCCCAAAGAGGTATATGAGAACTGGAGAAAGAATAAAAGTAGGGATAAAAATGTTCAAAGCATCACTAGGTGGTGGTGGCACGTGCTTTTAATCCCAGTGCTCAGGAGGCAGAAGCAGGTGGATCTCTGTGAGTTCAAATCCAGTCTGGTCTACAAGAGCTAGTTTCAGGACAGGCTTCAAAGCTTCAGAAAAACCGTGTCTCAAAAAAACAAAACAAATAAAAAAGAAAGTGCAAAGCATCATCAAAGAGGATTTCTAGGGATTTAATCCCAAATTTAGTGTTTTTAATTTTTTACTAGTTTCTGGTAACTATGAGAAAATCAAGGACAAAATAGTGAGATATAAAACTTTAGACTGCATAATTGAATTTCTTATTTTATATTTAAATATTTATATTACTATTTTGTTGTTAAACTTGCCTTTTTATAATCATATGCTATGGTATATGTCTATAATTCCAGACATGGAGGTGGGAGGAAGAGAACCAAGAGTTCAAGGACATCTTCAAATAAACAGAGAGTTTGAGGCCAGCCTGGGATATATGAAATGTACTCTTTTAGACATTCTCCCCTCCTTGCAAAAACGTCTTCTCCTATAAAATGAGGATAATTGTAAATATTTGGGGGGGTTTTAAGTTTTACCTTGCAAGAAAAACACAAACAAAAAATCCAAATGGATATCTGTAATCAGAGGTTTTTCTCTGGTCTGCGAGTTCCCAAATAACCACTCAGAAGCTTAATGTTACTTATAAATTCTTGGCCAATAACTCAGGCTTATTACTAACTAGCTCTTACATTTAAATTAATCCATTTTCCTTATCTATACTTTGCAATATAGTTTGTGGCTTCTTACCTTGGTATGGGGAGTCCTTCTGTATATGTGTTGCTTTTATTGGTTAATAAATAGGCTGCTTTCATCCAATGGCTTAACAGAATATAGCCAGGTTGGAAAAGATATTTATACAGAGAAGGCGGTCAGGGAGAAACCATGGAGTCACCGCCCGGGACAAACACCTTCACTGGAGCCCACCCATACTTTGCCGTGGTGATGCACAGATTAATGAAGATTGGTTATTTTAGACTATGACAGCTAGCTAGAAATATGCTTAAGCTATTGGCCAAACAGTATTGCAAATAATATGGTTTCTGAGATATTATTTTGTGGTCTGGGCAGCGGGGAATGAATCATGTCCATCTACATTACTTCATTTTCTACATGTCTTGCTTTCTTGGCAGCTAGCAGGCATTTCTGAGAATCTGCCTTTCTCCTACATCTCTGCTTGTGTTTCTTGTCTTGCCCTATCATGCCTTGACATGCAGCAAAGAAGCTTTATTTATCAACCAATGAGAGCAACACATATTCATAATGTACAGAAAGACATCTCACAGCAGATGGCAAATATTGCAAGCCTCCTCACCTATTTCCTTTTGGAAATACATAGATGAATTAAATTTCCAAATGTGGTGATAATACTAGTATATGACATTTAGTATTTATCTTTTAGAGACTTTGAATCCCATGAGTCAACACTATACAAAAAACTTTTCAGCAATAAAAAAAAAAAAAGGTGATCATGCAGCGGCATCCTGCCAGAAAAGGGGGAGCCTGGCAAAGTCTGGGCTATTCCCACCAGGCTCTTCCCATAAAAGGACAAGAGCCTCACCTGGACCACACTAGACACTCTGCAGAGAGAGAGGGGCTCATCTCCACTCAGCGGACAACTCTGAGTGTCTGGCCAGGTATGGAGGGGAACGTATAGTTGCTGTCAGTGGAAGAAGGAAAGTGGACTCCAGCTCGGGTCTGCTTTAGGACCCAGAGATGCGAGGAGTTTAAAGGAAATGAAGGAGCCTTTAAGTGGAACTAGATAGGAGCCCAGACAGGGATGGGGGAAAAGATGGTCTGGATAGAGAGTGACCTTCTTCTTGTCTTTCTCTAGATGACTATGACCCAGTTCAGAATTCTGCTGTTTACCATTTTGGCCACCAGATGGTGCAGTGCAGGTGAGTCTTGATACAGGACCCCAGACTCCTCAAGTCACTTCTAACTTTAAAGGCAGTCCAGACATGGGTCTCTTGAGGGTCAGAGATCATGATTTTGTTGTTATCGTTCCTGTTGCTTACTGTTTGGGGAGACAGGGTTTCTCTATGTAGCCTTAGATGTCCTGGAACTTGATTTGTAGCCCAGATTGGCCTCAAAATCAGATATCTACCTACTTCTGCTCCCAAAGTGCTGGGATTAAGTAAGTGGAACACCACACCTCATGCCTTTTTACAAAATAATAAATTTTTGAAATTAAATATAATTTCATTATTTTTCTACTTCTCTTCCTCCTTCAAACCTAACTCTGCTCCCCAAATGCTGAAAATAAAGAAATGAGTCACCACAGTTCATGCCTTTAAAAATAATAATAATAATAATAATAATAATAATAATAATAATAATAAATATTTTAAATTAACATGATTGCATTCTTTTCCCACTCCTTTTCCTCCCTCTAGCCTTTCCCAATTATTGCCCACCCTCAGTCTGTACGAAAATAAATTTTATTTAGTTGTGGGTTTATGTTCTTTTCCTGGAATGTAAATACAACCTATGCCATTCATCATAGAGATGATGCCTTTGAGATGTAGGCTGTATGATGATTGCCTCTTGAAGGAATTGGACAGTGGCAGAGAGATTGTTGGAAAATGCCCTGGTCCTAACTCTATACTGTGTGTAACTCTAGAGGAAATTCTGAAGGAACTGTGTCCCATCCTAGTCATTCCTTATGCTTAGGTCCTTGGCCTTTGAGTTTCAGTGCCAAGGGAACAGTCTGGTTTGTGAGCAGAGAATATTTACTTCAATCCTGCTCTCTACAATAACTCAAAATTATTTTAAATGAGTAATTCCTTTTCACTGATATTTTGGTATATTTAAGGAAGAAGGAAGTCCCTAACTGTCATATTATGTGATCTCCACATGATAATCTATGTCGGCTTGATATTAGACACCAGAGAACTGAGGCTCAGACACAGTGAAAACAATCTAAATATGCTTGACTTGTAAACATGGAGCTACTTACACCTGAGCAGCTCTGACACCAAAGTTCTCATTTGTTTCCACTCGTCTAGGTTCTCAGAGGACTTTGCAGAGTTGAGGCCAATTTGCAAGGCTTTTGCTTCCAGGCTCTCTTGGTCTTGCTTCTGCCCTGTCTACCTCACTACCCATGCTTCAGACACATTAGGCTCCCTGCATTTCTCCTACCTGCAAAGTTGAACTTCACCTTATTTTTCTTTTTCAGAACTTTGGACACAAAGTTCTCCACACCTTCAAATATCTTATCTTTATTCCTACTTAGAAATCTTGTTGATTCTCAGAGGGAGGCTTTAGGAAGTTATGGAGTAAGTTTAGGATGAATGACAGGGGAGGCTGGGTGTCCCATGAGTGTGAAATTCTGCATCTTCTCCTGTTAAAGAGAACCTGGACACCAACAGCCAGGCCAATCCTGTGTCTTCCTCTCTGTTCAGAAGCTGCAAGGAAATCAAGCAGGAGGTCACTGGGGCACGAGGTGAGTGATGAACATTTAAAGAGCACACTGTGATCCTAACACTTGGGAGCCTACGGCAGAGGATTGAAATCTCCAAAGTCACCTGGGAAGACCCTGTCTCAGAAATGCAGACACATAACCCAGCAAGGAAATCAGGCTTTTGTCCCATGGAACAGCTTTATTTATATATATAGAAAATGTTACAAAATGTACATAGTGGATAAAAATTGCACTTAATCAACTTTAAGGGTATTCAGAGTCAAGAATGACTTTCACAAGGGTATGGATCACCACTGTCCATCCCCAGAAAGTTTTTGTTCCTTTAATAGAAATCCTGTAGCAATAAACTCCCATATTCCCTGTGAGTTGCTGTTCTGTTTCCTACTTCTATGAATCTTTCAATATCTGTTACCTCATATGACTAACCTGCCTCATTTTGTTAGCAATCATCAAGGCTCCTATGTGTTGTAAAATAGTTCATTTATTTTAAAAAGATTTATTATTATTACTGTGTGTAGATAAACATGTCTTTGTGGGATATTGTGTACATGTATGTGTAGGTACATGCAGAGTTCAGAATAGGTCATCTAGTCCTCCGGAACTGGAGTGACATGCACTTTTACAAATGCCAAGTGTGAGGGATGAGAACCTAACTCAATTCCTCTGCTAGAGCAGTACTTGCTCTTAACCACTGAGCCATTTTTCCAGTTCACTTTACTCTTTTTGATCTATTGGATATATAGGAATGTACACAATATATATTTTGCATAGGAGACAGCATAGAATATAATGGGTATTCCTTTTTCTATAGAAAAGTACTTGACTTGTTTCTGTCTTTCAGGTCTTGTGTCCAAAGCTGTAACAAACATGAATGTACATATATGAGTCCCTGCTCCCAGTTCTTTGAGTATATACTGAGTAGAATTACTAAATCCTTTGTAAAAACTCTGTTTAACATTAGAAAAACATCACTGTCAGTTTGGGTAATTCCATGTTCTCCTTCAGTCACAGAAGCATGACTTTCTGTAGTCAGGCAGAACCCCAGGGACACATGTGGTAGGACTCTCAGGCTATGAGGCAGTAGCTGTTGGAATAGGCTGCTTGTTTGTTTCCTGGCTGCTTAGCCCTGAAATAATCACACAGAAACTGTATTAATTAAAACGCTGCTTGGCCCATTAGCTCTAGCTTCTTATTGACTAACTGTTACATATTAATTTAACCCATCTTCATTAATCTGTGCATCACCACAAGATCATTGCCTACCAGCGAAGTTTTGGTGTATCTGTCTCCAGCAGTGGCTCCATGGCTTCTCCCTGACTCCGCCTCCTTTCTCCCAGCATTCCTTTTTCCCACTTAGCACTGTTCCCCTATAGCTCTTCTGTAGGCCCAAAGAAGTTCCATTATTAACCAATGATATTCACTGCAAACAGAGGGAAATCGCACATCAATTAACCATGTTTGTAGTTCCTAGAGCCATTCTGTTTCTAGAGCAGAGATGGACAATGAGCCGGCACACAGGACGGTGGACTGCTTCTCTCTACAGATGGCCTCTATTTCCTTCACACGGAGAATGGTGCCATCTACCAGACCTTCTGTGACATGACCACTGATGGTGGTGGATGGACCCTGGTGGCCAGTGTGCACGAGAACAACATGCATGGGAAATGCACTGTGGGCGATCGCTGGTCCAGTCAGCAAGGCAACAGAAGAGAAAACCCAGAGGGGGATGGCAACTGGGCCAACTACAACACCTTTGGGACTGCAGAGGGGGCCACAAGTGATGACTACAAGGTTGGTACACTCTGTAGTCACTTGGGAAAGCATGAGGATGTGAGTGTAGCTCAAGGATGCCATGGAGAGGGTGGGAAGGTTGTCTTTCAACACAGGGCTGAAGAAGTGAAAAGTACCTACCATGAATCTCAGAATCCTCCCAAGTAGGCTTTTTGGTAAGTAGGTGGTAGTGGTGGTGGAACCTTGAAAATAGGTCATCTGAGCATGGCTGGCCCTCTGTCTACCTGGAGCCTAGGGATATCAGTTCTTCTAGGGACTTTTACCCGGTGAAATCTCCTCCTCTGGTCAGACTCAGTATTTGCTGCTTTCCAGAACCCTGGCTACTTCGACATCCAGGCTGAGAACCTGGGCATCTGGCATGTGCCCAACAATAGCCCCCTGAAAAATTGGAGGAACAGATCCCTGTTGCGGTACCGCACTTTTAATGGTTTCTTTCAGCGCATGGGCCATAATCTGTTTGGCCTGTACAAGGTATTTATGATTGCTAACCAAGGCTGCTTTTCATGGGTGTGGAGATAGGCAAGTGTTTGAGGCTGGGCATGTGCTATTGTGTGTTCCTCTCATTCTAAAGTGTAATGAGCAAAGGAAGGAAAAGGTAGGGGGTATGTGGAAAGGAGAGGAGAAAGAAGAGGAGAGGACAGGTAGGAAGAGGAAAGAAAAGGGGAGGAGAGGAGAGGAGAGGAGAGGAGCCAAGGATGTGAGAGAGACAAAGACAATGGGAAGGAGTCTTTCTTATCTAACTGGTTTAGAAACAATCTCACTTACTGGACACATGCAGTGCTTCTCTGTGCAGGGCAGTGCTACTGGGAGTACCAGTGCTGCAGTCCTTACCCAGTGACTTCCTTTGTTCCTTGTAGAAGTACCCAGTGAAATATGGAGGAGGGAAGTGTTGGACTGACAATGGTCCAGCATTACCAGTTACCTACGACTTTGGTGATGCACAGAAGACAGCATCGTATTACTCCCCCTTTGGCCGAAGTAAGTCTCTAATGCTCATCTGGATGCTGTGAAGGATATGTGGTAAATTCAGTTATGATGGATAGCAGACATTTACCATCGACTACAGCATGCTTCTCTTCTATGACTATTCTTGTTTTGTTAAACTTCATTCAGTTGATTGTCCTTGGTCTCTCAACTATCACTAACTCATTTAACAAATTAAAAGAAGCACTGAAGGTCCTGGAACTTCTTGAAAGCACAGGGCATGAGCAGGAGAGTTAGCATTTGCACTGGGGATACATGGTTCTAGAATCTACTCTTAGCAATCCCATTATCAGTTTGAAGTTTATTTAGGAAAAACACAGGTCCATGTGCACAGGGCTGAACAAGAGAAAACAATGTATTTATTTCAGTTGTGAATGACGACTGCTCTGTTGTTTAATATAAATCCAAATGGGTCATGTACCCTTATAAATGTTAAACTTTTGCTGTATAATTCAAAGAACTTCTTATTTATTCTTGGGATATAAGGCTTTAAGGAAAAGTTAGCAAGGTAAAATATAAGCAGGGCCAAAATAAATGCACTTAACTACTGTGACAAGTCCTTGGAGACATTCGGTAGAGACCTTGCTGTATCAGAAATTTCTCCATTCAAGCTGACACATGGGGGCCTTTTCTCAATAACCAACTCCTGGGGTCTGTGGATGAGAATAGGTGAAGCTCCCCCAATAGGTCTGATATTTTAGACTGTGTATCCTGAACCTGACACCATAAACTCTGGGTTGACAGTGATTTCTAGCACTTTCCTTGAACGCTGTTTCCTATCTTTTGTTTTCAGATGAATTCACTGCAGGATACGTCCAATTCAGAGTATTTAATAATGAGAGAGCAGCCAATGCCTTGTGTCCTGGGGTGAAGGTCACTGGATGTAATACTGAACATGTGAGTCTGTGTAATGACCAAAGAGGCTCACGAATAAGACTGGGGTTGACTGTGCGTTGTTGGTGTATATTGAGTATGGGAGACTGTTGAATTAGTGTGTGTACATGTATGAGAGTGTGACCTTTCCCTATACCTTGCTACGTCTCAGGGATCAGAATTCCTGTCTAGATACAGAAATCCGGTGTTGTTGAAAACCATGGTCAGCATTACAAACTTCTAATGCACTGTTGCTGTTTGCTTAGCTTTTAGGATAAAGCACTCAGTCACCAGGAATGAGGGTGACACTTGTATTCAGGAAGTTGTGTGCAAGTCATTGGGGGCTGAGATTGTTAGAGAGTTGCGCTCTACCCAGGATTTAGCTTTAAGAGTGAAACAGATACATAGTGAATTCCAGGTCAACCAGAGCTACATAGTAAGACTCTGTCTCAAAAAATAGCATGCTCTTTTGTAATCCAGCCCTCATCAATATAACACTATGAGAAGAGGAGCATGAGCTCCTGGCAGGTGATCCTGAAGATCTCAGTGTCCATTAATTCCTCAATCACTAACTTGTACTTCACCTGGTCAAGATGAGGCAGCTTCTTGTCAAGGTGGACTTGGGACTGTGATGTGGAATGATGAAATGGAGAAGAGCATGTCATATTGAAGGAGTAGCGAGCTGTTTTCAATTTGGGTATGTAAGATGTGGTAGGTTACAGGAAGATCTCTTTTAGAAATGTTAATATGGACTAGATCAGGAAACAACCAGTGGTTTTTGGACTGTATGTCATGAGGACCACTGCAATGTTTTAACAGGCACATGAGATTAATGTAAGCATTCTTTTTTTTTCAAAGATGACAGTGGTGTGACACCTAGAGTTTACAGATTTTAATGAAGAAAAGACTAAGCATAAGGAAATAAGTATTTAAATGGTTTCCATGGTCCAAATGAAGCCTGATGAACTGTGATAGGAATCTGGGGAGAGAGAAGGCATTAATGGGTTCCAAAGATATTTAATTTATTAATAGTTGAATACAGAGAATGGGAATAGAACACATTTTGAATAGTTTCACTGTTTTCATTTGAGTAGGTGAATATCAAATAGTGCGCCAAGATGTCTGGATCCTGAATATGTTTGGGATCAAGGAGGGATTTATAGGCATGATTCTGAATTTTTAAAACATTTACTTGACTTTATTTGTATGTGAGCACATGTGTATTCAAGTTATTACAGAGATCAAAGGGAGATATTGACTCCCTGGGAATTGGAGCTTAAGTCTTTCGATTGGGTACAGGGATCTGATGTCAAAGATGGGATCTGAACTTTGCTTCTTTGAAAGAGGCACAAGATGTCTTAACCTTGGGGCTATCACTTCAGCTCCCATGTTACTAGCTTCTTTAGGTGGTATTTTATTTTGTCTTATTTCAGGTGTGTTTATTTAATTTGATATATATGAGTGGTTTGCCTATACATATGTAAATTGTAAACTCAAAAAGGTATAAAAACTGACTTATTAAGGAGTACAATGAGAAGGACAAACTCATAGTTACAGAGTAAGGCGGAAGCCACCTCTGATTCAATGTACCACTCTGCTGCTTGGGTCTCTGACCATGCCAAACACCAGCCAAAGCAAGAGAGTGAGCATGTTTTCCTCTCAAGCTTATTAGTCATCACCTAGCACACAAGGCCATGCCCTAAGGCAGGCACCCCAAAGCTATTGACAGAATGAATTCTCACAACAGTTCCCCATTTTGTCTAAATAAAAAGTTTCTAGGCATAATACAAAACCATTTTAATGGTAGGACTGTTGGTACCTCTGAGAGTTTGACAGCTGTTTGCCTAGTTTTTGTACAGCCTGGATGGTCAGAAACTGTTTTTTTTTAATAATGCCTTATAATATTCTTCCCACAAACATGAGTTGGTTTATGGTCTGTTTCAGAGATTTGAAGAATGATAATCTGGGTATTCCATTGCTGCAGTATAACATAACCCCATAGAACCACTACTACATTAGCCACAGATGGCTTCAGCCTTCCTCTCTGTCCTTCTAGCCCTGTGCATTCAACCCATCTCATGTTTTGTTTCACCTGAGATAGGGTCCCAATCCTAAGGAATTGAACATCTACCTTCTGAGGAGGCCAATTCAGATGCCAAGATTATGCAGTATTAATAGTCACAGCTTTACCTGTGTCTAATAATCCCTCAATTATGATGTTATTTATTTGTAATTTTAGCTTTGGTCTTTGGTCATTTATAGAAGTCTGCCAAGTACACATGTTCTAGTTCCTCCTGGAACTTTTGGTTCATCCTCCAAAACTACTTTATCATACAGCAAGTATTACGCTTTTTTACAATAGACCCTTGATTTTCTAATTATTTTGGGGAAGATTGTCCTCCACACTGACTGGGAATGATTAGACCACATTCAACTTGGGGGCCTGTAAAAGGTCCCCCAAGAAGCTTCCCAGTGGTGAAGAGTTACCTTGTTTGTCTCTTGTTGAGCTACATTTGTTGGCCCAATGTTGACCTTCGCCACATTTTCTACATAGTCAAGAAGGTTGGGGCCTTCTACTTGGGTCATTCCCAGAAGAAACATTATTTCTAGGAATTCCCTATCTTCAGTTTCTTCTCAGATGTCCTATTCTACCACAATTTAAAGATTCACATTTTGATGTGTCTTCAGGCCTTTTGAAAATGCCTCTCTTGCCCAGGTCTCATTAGTCAAGAGACTCACTATTGGCTGTGTGTTAAATTCACTCATCTATTGGTGCTGATCTGATCTTTAAAGGCCCAAGTATCTTTTTGCATTCTCAGCATTTTCAAAAGCCAGAGATTCTATTAGTACTTATCTAGCTTCTTGATCTGATACCCCTATATGAACAGTTTTAGTTCATCTCTGTAAAATGTCACCGAAGAGTTCTTGTGGACCTTGTATAACTTTAGTATACAACTCAATTCTTTTCCTAGTTCTTGAATCTTGTCCCAAGCATTTGACGCTGCTGTATGGCATACAGACACAACATGTTCATTGTTAGTAGCTTGACTATTTATATCAGCATAATGGCCCTCACCAAGAATTTGATATTGGGAAACTTCATATTCTCTGATTTTTACCTTGATGTTCAGGGAACTTAGCTTCATCTTTTTAATAGTTCCTTCATTGTAACTGAGGGCCATATTATAAAACCACTAAGGCTAGCTGAAGCCAATCACATGGTGTAATCCTATTTCTTGAATACCATGTATTTAACAACTGCCTCACAGATGCTGGATATGTACCCTAAGAAACTATTGCCTCCTTAAAAACTTTTAAATCTTTCGTATGTATATACTCTCTGTATATCCTTCTGGATAGTTAATGTTTGCTGCCTTTTCAGAATTGTAACAGGATAGTTTATATCAGGTGAAGTTACAAGTCTTGGCAAGTCATCTCTGACTCTGTGAGATACTGGCAATGTTAAGACCCCTCCAATCTCTTTTGTCTGAGCATCAATGCTCTTTTTATCAGTTTTAACAAGTTCTTCTAAATATTGAAATCTATTTTTCACTGCTTTCTGTAAGGATTGAACTTCCTGAACAGAGAACGATTCCAATGAATTCATTAGATCACTCAGCTTCTTGTTTTCATCATTCACATATGATTCTAAGGATTTAATTATAGCCATCAATCATAACTTTTGTCCTTAGAGATTATCTGGAAAGCTTGCAAATTGCCTTCCAAAACCAACGTTCTATCTGCTAACATTCCATAACCATTTGATATAAATAAATCTTTTCTGCCTTTGGAACATTTCCATGTTCTATGGAATAAAATTTGCCTGTTAATTTATCATCCATGAAATGAATCCTTTTGGTAATTTCTCAGTGTCAGTTTGTAAAGTCTATAAGTCAAAGTTTCTCATTCCTGTAATTTATAAAACCATATTTTAAGGATGCAATATGAATTTCCTGACTATAGCAACTATGGTTAAGAATGTATACATCCCAGATAGGTCCTATATCTCTTCTAAAATTCCATTTATAGTAGAAATGAAAAGGTTTTTAAATTCCTGGATGACAATATTATCCACAATTGGTGTAGAAAAATTATTTATTTATCAATCTAATATTTAATTATCAAATAATTTACCTCCATTAAAATTCTCAGAAAACTGTGTTAGGTGTAATAATCTTGATTGATCAGCAGGTGGAGCCAGTGTTCAGTGGCAGGTTCAGGTGGCTACTGAGACTTTTATGGTGTAATAAGGATGCTAGCCAGCAGGTGTTGCCATTGTAACACTAAGGTTCTGGAGCACAACATGAATAACCTGTGAGACCTAGCAAAGCTGAAATGAATTATATTTAACAAAATTGGTTATATTTGGTTATAACCTGATTAGGGGATGGGGTACATGCCAAGGGAAGATGGCAGGCATGCGGAGCAACTGGAGATCACTCCTAACAACCAGATCAATAATCACTGGCAGGAAGTGCCTATCCTGTAGAGCCACCTGGGTCTTAGAGGGATTGATTGATTGCACACAGGAAACCCAGAGCACGTAATTTAAAACTCAGTGTTTACCAAGCATGGTGGGTCATGCCTTTAATTCCAGTGCTAGGGAGGCAAAGGCAGGCGTGGAGGGGCATAACCACACTGCAGAGCAGGCCTCCTTGGCTGAGAGACTGGCTAGACGCAGGCCCTGCTCCTACAGGGCGGGATGGTCTGAGGCTGTGGAAAAAGCGCTTGGGCTTGCGCGTGGGACAGGCCAGACTGTGACTGCTGTGACTATTCCCTGACCAGACCTGGTGTCTTTGGGATTGGGTTAGAGACAGCCTTAGTCTACAAAACAGGAAGATCATATGCAGAGCAGGTCAGGTCAGACAGAAGCACAAGGCAGAACAGAGTCATTGAGCTGTTACAACAGCCACACAGTTCAGCGTGGGGGAGAGAGGAGACTGGGGCAGCTAATGTGACTAATACACGTGCCTATGGCACTGTGCATGGTGGGATCAGCTCCAGATGTGAAAGGGCATGCAGCCTAACTGATGGCTTTCTGTAGGACCCTGTGCTTAATCAGAGAAGACCTCCACCATGTCCAGGTGGCAGCTAACGGATGTCTGCAGACTCTGGGTCTCATGGAACAAGGATGTCATGCAGGCTAGCCACAGGCCATGGTTTCAATTCACCTTTGTGAAGCACGAACTCATAAAGGCTTAAAAACCGATTTATTAGGGAATGCAATGAGAAGGACAAACTCACAGATTCAGAGTAAGGCTGAAGTCACCTCAGATCCCGTGCCATCTCTCTGCCACTTGGGTCTCCAAACACACTAAGTACCATGCCACACACCAGCCAAAGCAAGAGAGCAAGCTTGCTTCGGTCATGATGTTTCCTCACAGCAATAGTAACGCTTGATGATTTCCGAGATTTTAACCCATGGTCATTTGGCACTGTTGCTTTTAAATTCATAGTGGAGCAGGAATATCATGCAGGAAAGACATATCAGAGCAATATGACTCATTTCTTAGTTACAAGAAGTCAAGAATGACCAAGGAAGGTCAGAGAAAGATACCTTTCAAAACTCACACCTTCAGTGATTTATTTCCTCTAACCAGACACCCCCTTCCATACCACCACCACTTACCAATAGTCAGTTCAAAATGGTAGCTCCATTAGTGATTAACTAACTGATGAAGGCAGGGTCCTCAAATTTAATCCCTTCCCCAAAGTTCTGCCTCTGAATATTACTTATCCTGGAGATCAGGTGTTTAGTATCTAACACCTTTTGATAGGGAACTTTATATCCGAACCATAACACCTCTGATTGCTACTTCTTCCCTGTTTTTCAGCACTGCATTGGTGGAGGAGGATACTTCCCAGAAAGGGACCCCATGCAGTGTGGTGACTTCTCTGGATTTGATGCAGATGGATATGGAACTCATACTGGGAGCAGCAATAGTCGGACGATAACTGAAGCAGCCGTGCTTCTGTTCTACCGTTGAGAACTTTGTGGTGTGGGACCCAGAATTCTTCTCTAATCTGTGGACTCACATGCATGGAGAAAAACCTATCTAGTTACTAGAATGCTAATGACACAGGAAGGAGAATAAATCATGTTCATTGCAGGCATGGGTGTCTTTGTGAATTCTTTTTGTGTAGGGATGGGTGATAAAAGGGTTTCTGCTGTCCTGTTTGATTCTCTTGGTATTTTATTCAGGGTGGGAATTCTGATACAGCAATACTCTTTTATTCATTCTCTTATATATTACATCCTGATAGCAGCCTCCCCTTCCTCCTCTCCTCCCAGCCCCTCCCTTACTCTGAACTCCCCCAGATCCACTCCTCCTCCGTTTCCCTACTGAAAAGCACAGGCTTCCTAAGGCTATTGATCAAACATGGCATAACGAGTTACAATAAGACCAGGCACATCCCCTCATATTAAGATTGGACGAGGCAAACCAGTAGCAGGAAAATGCTATGCAATATCCCTTTATACAGTGTAAAGATACCGTGATTGGTTTAATTAAAATCTAAATGGCTGAGTGAAGAAACATATATAGCACAATAAAAACAATAAAATAAAAATTTTAAAGTATATATATGCATATATATATACATACACACAGTAGCTAAGTAGGTGGTATAGCAAGAACTTCTGTACAAAAAGAGCTCTGGGAAGAAGAAAGGTTGAGTAACAGCTGGACATAAAGGAAGTCAGTCATGAAGGAGGAGAAACAAAAGTCATAAGACATGCAATAATTTAAAGATTAATAGAAAAGGGTTAACTTAAGTTATAAAACCTAGAGAGTAACAAGCCTAAGCTAAGGTCAAACTTTTATCATTAATAAGAAGTCTTCATTTCATTTTTGAACATTGGCAGCCCAAAGAAAAATCCTTGGGCAGCTGAGGAGAGGGAGCCTGAAATGGTCCTATACTATAGCCATACTGATGAATATCTGTAGTGATAAGGGCGGCGGGGCTGCGTCCCCAGCACCCCGGCTGCCTGGCTAGCTTATGCCCGAAATAACAACACACAAACTGTATTCATTTAATCACTGCTTGGCCCATTTCTATCTAGCCTCTTCTAGGCTAATTCTCACATATTAATTTAGCCCATTTCTAATCTTCTGTGTAGCGCCCCTAGGTGCGCTTACCGGGAAGATTCTAGCCTATGTCCATCCTGGGTCGGAGCTTCATCACGTGCGTCTGCCTGGGAGCTGGGAGCATGGTGTCTCTCTGAGGCGTCCGCTCCCGAGAGGAGAGCTGTGGAGTTTGAGCTCACTTCCTCTTCCTCCCAGCATTCTGTTCTGTTTACTCCTCCCACCTATCTTCTAACCAATGAGGGCCAAGCAGTTTCTTTTTATTTAATCAATGACCTTCCTCCATCATTTCCCCTTTTTCGGTTTAAACAAAAAAAAAAGGCTTTAACTTTAACATAGCAAAATTACATATAACGAAACAGTTATCAAGTAAAAGTTACAATAATCTTTATCATAACTAAGGAAAACAATAACTATAACTAACTATTCTTTTTTTTAATAACTAACTATTTTTAACTCCATCAAAGACTCCAGAAAGATACTATACTACCTAAGCAAACAAGAAAAAAGCAACTTTTAAAACTCTAAAAATGACAGAGACATCTCGCTGCCTGGACAGTCACCCAAAGTTCCTCTGTACCGTTGGGGCATCCATCTTCAGCCTTCAGGCCCATGGTATCCAGCAGACATTTCCATAAAGCAGGAAAATTCAAAGTCAGTTCAGTCACTATCTGTTGTGTCCTGCAGAATGTTTCGCAGACTCTTTCATGAATCAGGAACCCCGAAAGACCATCTCACCTTAGGCAACTTCAGTAGTCCTCTCTCTGTGGGTTCTCTGTGTCCAGTTTATGCAATAGTCCAGGCAAGAGCAGTTTCTTGCCCAAATGGCTATCAAACTCCATAACGAGCCTCTTCGATGCCCATCTTCCTCTTGAAGTAGATTGGTGTTGCCAGGAGCAGAGTGTCTCATTGTCATGAAAAGTCCTAAGCTATTAAAACATTTAAAATGCCATATTCTATAATCTTTGAAAAATATAAAGAATGCCTATCTAAAATATATCTAGACACATCTACAAAATATTAACTAACATGACTACAAACTTGACTATTATTTATGATTATCCATCAACAACCTATATTTCCTAATTATATATTACATTTTAATAATGAACTACACAATCACAATACCTTAATCAATATCAGAAATACATATACATATAACAAAATTGACCGTAAATCTCTATCAATAAAGCAAAAACTATACTAATGCAAATTATTCATACCTATATCATATCCCCCTTGAAGTGTTAAAGAACGTTTATAAACCATATTTGGGAACATGGGCACAGTTTTTTCTCTCCAAACTGCTTCCTTCTGAATGGGGGTGTCATTAATTAGGTCTTTCATGGTATAACCTGTGTGCTAGTTTCATCTCAGTTGGCAGTTGAGCAAAGCAATTTTCTGAAGATGTTCACAACAACCCTTCAGGAGGGCGTGGTCCATCATACCAAATCAGAATAGAAGAAATGAACAGGGTCTCATCCTCTGTGAAAACAAAATAAGAAACTCCTTTCCAAAGCATCATGTCCTTAGATCCAAATTTCAAAGTCAAGGCATTTTCAAAATATCTATGTTGGATTAGTTCAGCAGCATTTATAAACAAATATCCTTTAGCATCTGTTGCTCCTTCCTCAGCATTCAAACAATTCAAAGAGAGCATAATAGCATACAGTATCAAAATTCTCTGTCTATTTTCCATCTTTGTACAGCTTTGTTTTAACCTCTATTTCGTTTATTTTTACTTTTAACTTTTTGCTTTTTAGACAGGTTCTCTGTATCTTTGACCTGGAATAACTCTGTAGACCAGGCTGTCTTTGAACTCTCAGAGATCCGCCTGTCTCTGCCTCCCAGGCATTCGGGATTAAAGGTGTACTGCTCCTACACCTTGAACTCACAGAGATCTGTTTGTCTCTGCCTTCTAGGCACTGGGATTAAAGGCGTGTGCTACCACACCTTGAAGTCACAGAGGTCAATCTCCCTCTGCCTCCCAAGTATTGGGATTAAAGATGTGTACTACCACACACAACAACTCCCTTTTTTTTTTGTTTTTTACTTTAAGAACTTCAACTTTTAGTCTGCATATATTTTTAACACACTTTAAACCATTCAGAAATTTTCTCTGTCTTTGAATCTCTCTTTACTGTATATCTCTCTTTTTCTGACCACATGAGTCTTTAATTTACCAAGCAATCTCAGTAGGACTAAAGGTGTGGCTTTGCCGGCTAGATGTAGCCCATTCCTTAGCTTTCCAGCCTCACCGCTGAGGTACTGGCTGTAGCCATGTTTACTGCCACAACTCTATGGCATTTCAAGGTCCCTGCCAGCAAGCGAGCTTCAGCAGCCTGTGCTTGCAAACCGCACGAACCGCCTGCGTAAAAGAGTCAGAGTTTGCCCTGGCAGGACAGCCCAGAAAGCCAGCATTTTTAAACGGAGCAGCTTTTTTCCTGCTACGGCTAAAAACCGAAAAGCATGTGTTCAGCTTTTCGTCAACACCATTTAAGTGTTTCGTGGCAGGACCTCTTAATGAGCTGCAGGGTTTTGCAGCTAAAGCTGAGTCAGGAAGCTTCTCTTAGATGAGAGCGCTTGCTTGCCTCTAGCAAGCAGAGTGCCACAAATGCTTTAAAGCCAGAGTTCACGCTGGCAGCACAGCCCCAAGAAGCTGCGCTTTAAAATGACACAGCGTTTTTTCTGCTGCTGTTGCCGAATCAGGAAATCTCTCTACAGCACGCCACCAACAAACAGCAAAAATCTGTGTTAAACTCTCTCTCCCTTATTTTTAAGCCTTCTCAGGTTTTTAAGTGGGTTTAGTCCATCACGTCGGGTGCCATTGTAGTAAAATGGGCTGCGGGGCTGTGTTCCCAGCACCCTGGCTGCCTGCTCGGCTAGCTTATGCCCCGAAATAACAACACACAAACTGTATTCTTTTAGACGCTGCTTGGCCCTTTAGCTCTAGCCCTTACTGGCTAATTCTGCTATCCCGATGAACCCATCTCTAATAATCTGTGAGCACCGGTCTTACCAGGAAGATTCTAGCCTATGTCCATCCTGGGTCAGAGCTTCATCGCATGCATCTGCCTGGGAGCTGGGAGCATGGCGTCTCTCGGAGGCATCTGCTCCCGAGAGGAGAGCTGTGGAGTCAGAGCTCACTTCCTCTTCCTCCCAGCATTCTGTTCTGTTTACTCCTCCCACCTATCTTCTAACCAATGAGGGCCAAGCAGTTTCTTTTTATTTAACCAATGACCTTCCTCCATCAAATATCTTGCATATCACCATAGAACCTTCATCTGGCAATTGATGGGCACAGAGACAGAGACCCACATTGGAGCACTGGACTGAGCTCCCAATGTCCAAATGAGGAGCAGAAGGAGGGAGAACATGAGCAAGAAAGTCAGGACCACAAGGGGTGCGCCCACCTACTGAGACCGTGGGGCTGATCTAATGGGAGCGCACCAAAGCAAGCTGGACTGGGACTGATGGATCATAGGATTAAACCGGACTCTCTAAACATGTCGGACAAAAAGGGCTGACTGAGAAGTCAAGGACAATGGCACTGGGTTTTGATCCTACTACATGTACTGGCTTTGTGGGAGCCTAGTCTGTTTGGATGCTCATCTTCCTAGACCTGGATGGAGGGGGAAGGACCTTGGACTTCCCACAGGGCAGGGAAACCTGACTGCTCGTCGGACTGGAGAGGGAGGGGAGAGGGAGGGGGAGGGAAATGGGAGGAGGGGAGGAGGTGGAAATTTTTAAGTAAAATAAATAAAATAAATTTTAAAAAAAGTAAAATCTGTTTAAATAATGGTATCCAACATGGGGAAACATATACATGTAGGCCCTGAGAAAGTTTTTTCAAAAAAAATCTCCAAACACACACACACACACACACACACACACACACACAC